GGCCGCCTACACAGCCGACATGAAGCACATACAGCAGACGGAAGGCCCCGCTTCCTTGGACCGCCAAGAGCAGCTGAGCAAGCCTTCCTGCACTGAAGAAGGGAGCGTGTGCTCTGCACGCCAGGGGAGCCTTCCAGCCCTTGCCTGTCTGCTTCCTGATCCTGATCCCGAGTTCTGTCCTCTTACTACCTTGATAAACCAACTAAGTCAATACCATCTTTGAGGTCTTTGTGGCCATGGCAGTGGCTTACCTAACCCAGAAGAGAGGGCTGTGGGAGGGACGGCTGTGTCAGAATTGGGATAAAGGTTGGAGAGAGGAGGTGTGTCTGACCCCCACCTCCTAGGGACCAGCCTTGGCCTGACATTGATTCTCATGATCCCTCCTGAACTTAGACAGAACCTGATGCTATTACTACTACTACTGCCTTGCAGTAAAGGAAGGATGACAACATATATACCCACAGGAGTATTACGAAGCTTAGATGAGATAACCTAAGTGGAGCCAGAGCTCGGCCCAGAGGCAGGGCTGGGGTGGGGCGGCAGCTAAAGTCTGGAGCACAGGGGACGACCCCACCCCTCCACCCCTCATCAATCAGTAAAACCTGGAGCTGATTCTGTGTGGCACTCCTGTAAACTCAAGTCATCAGATATTTATGGATCCCTGACTCTTGTCACTTGTGTGAGCTGAGGAGACATCACTGAACAAGAATTTCCTGGTGTGTACATTCTTACAGGTGGAGAGAAAGAGACCCCAAACGAGAGAAATATGCAAAATATGGAGTATGCCAACTGGTGATAAATACTAAGGAGAAAAATGGAGCAGGAAAAGGGTTGGATGTGTGTGTGTGTTGGGGTGTTAAAACTGTAAACAAGGTTGGGAAAAACCTATGATGGTGACATTTGAACAAAGACCAGAGGGAGAGGAGAGAACGAGCCTGTACATCTCCAGGGAAGAGTGTTGCAAGCACAGGGAAGAACAAGCACAGGTGCCCTGAGGCAGAAGCCTGCGGGTGTGTTTGAGAAACACGAGGGCCAAGTGGCTGGAGTGGAGTCAGCAGGGGCGACAAGAAGAGTTGGGGCCAGGTTGGTGGCATCCTCAGTGTTCTCCCTGGCTCTGGAGCCAAGTTGGGCCCTTCAAGAGCATGGGAAGATGATGGGTGGGTGGGCAGCAGACTCTATGCTAGAAAGATAAAGAACTGGAAGGAAACAGGAGGGTTATTAGACCTAACTTCCAGGAGACTGTCATATGTCTGTCTCCCCCATGAGACGCGAGGGCTACGTCTTAGCCATGAGGTGACTTCCGATGTTGGTCAACCTTTCCAAAGGACTGCTGGTAGCACAGTGGTTAAGTTCTCAGCTGCTAAACAAACGCTCGGCAGTGCTAACCCACCAGTTGCTCCATGGGATAGACGACCTGGCCGTCTGCTTTCATAAAGATTACAGTCTGGGGAACCGTGAGACAGCTCTGGTCTGTCCTACAAGGTTGCTGTGAGTCGGGACCAACTCAATGGCAATGGGTGGGGTGTGCTGTAAGCTATCCAAGATTCAGAAGCAAAGGTGACTGTTGGAAGAAGCCCCCTCCCTCCTTATTCTTGGGGGGATGGTGGGAGTGAGGGTGGCTGAGGCCAGAAGGGGGGCTCTTATTAACCCAAGTAGTAATACCCCCTCTATTTCCCAAGAGGACCAGGTGGCCCTCTCAGCACACATTAATGTGCTTATCCTCACACCATCCCTGTGTTATCAGGAAGGGCAGCTGTCATTAACCCCATTTTATGGAAGGGAAACTCAAGGCTCAAGCAAGTTGCCCAAAGCCACTCAGTTACTTCATGACAGCGTATGGTCCAAAAACCATACCACCAGGGTTCTGTGGCACACTGCAAAGCTAAGGGCATAACAGTGACCAGTAAGGCAGTAAGGCAGAGCCACCTCTTGTCACTATCAGCCCCAGCCTCACCTTTCCCTCTGCCCCGTGAAGGCTCTGTGGTTGCTCACCTTCACCTTGGCTCATGCTGGACCCCTGGCTGGGACACCCCTCTTCAGAGGTCCAGGGAAGTAGAACAATTGCTGACAGGTGCAGTCCCACTACTCAGTGAGTCTATGCCATAGACAAATGACTCAACCCCAGGGACCCCTCAGGGTCTGCTTCCTCATCTGTCAAATGGGGTCATCCCACCCCTCCCAGCCCACAGGCCTGCAGGAGAGTCAAGTGTTCTGGGCAAGCCTTTGGTGGGATGGAGCAGAGGTCAAGGGCTGTGACACTAAGGGGACTGCTGGTAGGTTCCAGTCCATCCTACCCTGTAAAGTGGTGACCAAGACAGACAAGTCTGCTTTTTTCCTGGAGAAGCCAGAATCCAAACTTTCACATGAAATTTCATGATTTTGAATATGCGACTAAGTCATCTTGAAGCCAAACTCATTTTCAGGCCTTTCTAGTCTATGTGGAATTCTCTCTGAAATGGACATCGCAACACAACAGATGTTCACTCCTTGTGCTGCTTGAGTGGCACCCCTCCAGGAAGACCTCCAGGGCTCCCCAGCCTTACGGGCCCACATCCGGCATCTTGTGCAGGACCCGCATGGCTCCTGGGATGTTCTTCAGATTGCGGCCCATGAGTGGGGGTGCTTTTCATACTGTGGACGGTGTTAGTGGTGCCCCCTGGAGGTCACACCAGTTCCCAGCACTTCAGTTTCCTCTGGCTTGTTCATCCAGTCTGACAGGGTTAATGCATGTATCTGGGGCGTGGGCCGTTTCCCTGGAGAAATACCCAGGGCTTGGACACCTCTGCCCTCTGGATTCTCCCTGGGGATGTTCCTGTGCCCAGCCAGAGGTCACCCAGTTTAAATCCCAGCCCCAGCTGAGAGGTGGTGAAGCCTTCACACCCTTCAATCTGCTCTGTGGTCCCTGGACCTGGATAGCTGTCTGTCCTCTAACACTTTAAGGCTGCACTCCAGGTGTCCGTCTCCCCCAGGAGATGTGGGGACCATGTCTTACTAACCACGAGAGGGTGACTCTGGTTCTCCAGAGGGTTCACCACTCTCGATTCCAGGATTGGCCAAAGCACTGTGACTCAATTTCCCTGGTCTGCTGGAAGAACCGACAGTATATAAGGAGGGTGTGGATGAGAATTTAATACTTGTAAACATCACATGCTATAAATGACCCCACGTCACTGGAGATGGGTGAAGGAACCTGGGTCCGACATGAGCTGATGGCAGCAGTGAGCAGGTGCTGAAGGTGCACCCAGGGAGGGAGTGCCGGCGCTGGGGGAAGGAGTTCAGGTCTGTGATCTCATTTAAGCCTTGGGGCAACCTTGAGAGGTAGGTATGTTACACTGTCTTACACATGGGGAAGCAGACGCAGAGGTCAGCACTGGGAGGCGCTCACCCAGTGGCCATATGGCAGAGCCCAGTTTCAAGGCCTGCTGTGTCCACTCATCTCCAGGGCTTGCCGTGCTCCTGCTCAGTGGGTCTGGCCAGGCAGGGCCTACAAGCAATGCCCTGGGTTGAGTCCCAGAGCCATCCAGAGAGCCCAGCCCGACTCCACCCTCTGTCTGGCATGGAGGCAGCCAAGCCGGGAGTAACACCCCACCCCAAACATGGTGGGGGGTGTAGGAAAGAGGACAGCAGGAAGGGCAGGTGGAGAGAGCTGAGGGCTCAGCCCAAGGGGCAGGTCCCAGCCACAAGCCCTGAGTTGCACAATCCCACGTCTGGGTGTGGCCTTCAGCCAGGCACCAGGCATCGCCAGACAGACATGGGAGGGAGCCTGTCCACCCCCTGGCACAGCCTAGCTGAGCCACCCTTCCTAAGCATGCCCAGTGGCTGGGCAGGGTGCTCCTGAAGTGCAGGGTGGCCCTGCCTCCCCAGCTGGGGTGGAGCCTGCACCTTGGTTCTCTCCCAAATTACATGCTTTTCCTGTCACTATCTGTCTGTCTCTCAGGGTCTTTGAGCTTCACCCAGGACAGGGATCACATCCCCTTCCCAGCCCTAATGTTCAGGGTCTAACCTGCTTTCCCTAACGAGGGCACAGCCCAAAGTTCCTAAGGCTCCCACCCCCAGATCACAAAGGAGCCAAAGCAAGTGGCAAAGCGAGGTGTGGCAGTGCTCAGGACAGACGCCCTGGCTGCCCTGCTGGTCCCGTCCCTATCTGTACCAGTGCACGGGGACCCTGCCCTCGCCAGCACCTACTCTCTGCCTGCGCAGGTAGACCTGGGTCGGCCAATGGCCCCTCTCGGCCAGCGGAACAGCAGGGTGCATTAGTGAGGCAGGGGCAGGGTGAGGCAGCACCTCCTCCGTCGCTCATAAGCTGGGACAAAGAAGGGGCCAGGCTAGTGTCCATTAGCTGTGAAGCTACACCTGAAGCACTGAAAGGAGCCTGGAGCAAAGAGTCGGCACCTGATGGGTCTGTCCTGAAGGGGCCACACTTTTACAGAAGGTGAGATGCATTTTCTGTGGAAAGGAAGGAAGAACCACTCCTTCTTTGTGGGGCTCCTCCTGGAAGCTTCTGGAAGCCTGGGGAAGCTGTGCATTTCGGGGCTGGGCAGGACTCTGGGACTCACCTGCTTCCCTCTGCCAAGGCCATGGAGAAAGGCCAAGACCAAAGTCTCAGCGAGCTGACTGGAGTGCTAGTGCTACTCACCCTGACCTGGTGCCCACTTCTCGGACCAGCAAGTGGGCTCCGGGTTCGACCAACGGGAAAAGTGCTGGAGAGAGAGGAAGGACCCACCACCCCCTAACCATTTCTGCCACCCCAGAGGCCCGCCCCTGACTCGCAAAATTAAGGCCTGGGGTAAACAACCACAAACGCACATAGCTCCTCAGCCTGATGGGTGCTGGCAAAGGGACAGACATGTGGGAGACACCCCAAGCCTGGCTCAGAAGGGCGGTCCTCAGGCAGAGGCAGCCAGACCGGGTCCTGGCATCCCACCCTTGGGATCTGGGAGAGCCAGGGAAGGACGGGACAGGTCCTGGAAGCAGGGCTTGGCATGGCCTGGCTCGCTGGCTCACTCCCTGCTGAGAGGGGCTTTGCCTGTCAGCCGGCGGCGCTGGCTCTTGGTGGTGCGAGTGGCGCTCGGTGGCTTCTTGGCCAGGTCCTGGGCCCGTCGGGGATGTTTCCTCTTGACCTTTCTGCGGCTGTGTGCGTGCAGCGACGCCGTGAGGGAGGAGATCCTGTGGGAGGGCAGAAGGCCAGTGAGGCCAGGGCCGGGGTTCACCCTAGGGAATAGGGTGGTGGTGGGAGGCCGGGCTGGGGCTGAGTGACAGCCCAGCTCAGCGAGGGGAAGTCATGACAGGGCTGGGCTGCGTGATGTCAACTTCAAGCCAAGTCGGCCCACTGACTCCGGGCAGACACTGCCACAGGAGAAAGGACAGTGAGGGGAGGCTGAGGACCACCTGCAGCCAGAGCACTTAGAGTCCAGCCCCGAGGAACAGGGCCAGAGGAGCAGACGGGCAGGGCTCACCGCTGGGACAGCAGGGGGTCCTTAGACTTCCTGGGTAAGGCTTTGGTTGGCTTCTCCACGGATGACACGTCTTCCTCAGCCCTGGTCCCTTGCTAAAGCAGTACAGAGAAAGGAATGTTACCACACGGATGAGCAGAGGCAAGAACAAGTACCCTGAACAATCACGCCTCTGTCACCGGGGGACGTGCTCTGTCACCTCCCAGGCCTGCTGGGACAAGGCATACGCCCCAAAGAGGGCTGACGTGGGGAGAGCTGTGACTCAAAGTCCTTCCCTGCTGCAGCCTGTGGGAGACACAGTCACAAGGCGACTGGTGCAGAATGGGCAGGACTCGTCTGTCCGTCAGACCTCGCAGAGAAGCGAACGTAACTAGTGGGTGTGAGGCCAGTTAGGATGACAGGCAGGGCCTTCAGGCCTGAGGGAACTGCAGCCCAGGAGGAGCAACGAGTCAGACGATCTGGGTGCACTGCTGTCGCTGGTGCTGTCCAGTGTCTTCTGACTCATGGCGACCCTGCAGGACAGAGCCGAACGCCCAGCTTTCCTAGGCGGTCAACTTCAGGGAAGCAGATGGCCAGGTCCATTTTCCAGTACAGCCACTGGTGGGTTTCTACCACTGACCTCTTGGTTAGCAGCCAAGCACTTTATCGTTGTGCCACCAGGGCTTCTGTGTATATACATGTATAGAAATTCCTACCCAAACCACAGCAGCATGACTTTAGCTAAAGCAAGTATTTCATGCAAGGACACCGCCTGTGGTGCACTCTGGTATCTTCGGTTATATGCATCTGCTTTATGTTTTTTAAAGTGCCGACTGCTACCTGCTGGTGAATCACAGCCCACAGACCAACGCCATGCTCACTGTCAGCACACTCGCGTGAGCCGTGTGAGTATCGTGTAAGGGAAAGGAAGACAGCTGGAGCTTTTTCTGAGCACTTGCTACAGGCTGGGCGCTGTGCTGAGTGCTCACAGCAGCTCCATGAGGCGGGTGCTATTATCCACAACCCACAATGTGCCCGTGGGGGAAGGGAAGCAGGCAGGGTAAAGCAGCGGCCCCACAGCCGCGTAGTGGCAGAGCCGGCCTTGGAAGCCACTGGATCTTGTCCAGGCCCTGAAGGGGGCCCAGTACTGGAACCCCCAAGCTATGGACTAGCACTCAGCAGCCTCCCGACAGGTCAATGTCCCTTGTGCTGGGACTAGGACCTACCTCAGGTGGTGGCAGTCCGAGCAGCCGGGCCCCTGAGAGGTCCAGGTCGCTGATGGTGGTCACGGTGACTGTGTGGTTGGGGTGGTCGTACTGTACTGACTCTGTCTTTGCCGTCACCAGCCGCTCTAGCTCATCTGCCTCATCTGTGTGGGGTGGGCACAGACCCAGACATCAGCACAAGCAACCAGGCTCCAGCCCCTCCCTGCTGTGTGAGGGCCCTGCCACTCTAGGGGAGGGCATCGGGGAAGAGACAGGTTCCCGAGCCTGGCCTGCAGCTGAACGAACAAGAGCCACTCCTCCCTTCATTCTCCAGGGGGACTTCAGCCTGCCAGGACAGACCCTGCATGACAACAGAGCTGCTGTCGTCCTCAGTCCCTCAAGGCCTCAGAAACTAGACTCTCTCCTCAGAATCGGCACCTGGATATTCAGGTCTCCTCCTGGTCTCTGCCACCCGCATACTTAAGAGGTACCTGAGAATCACCCTGGTGCCCCAGTCACCACTAAGACCCCCAGAGCTGCAGAGTAGGCCTCTGTGCAGCCCCCTCAGCAAAAGGGATGAGTAAACTCACGCCTGCTGGCTCTTCTCCAAGGCAGGCCACGGATGGCACTTACCCAGAGCTTCCTCTCTCTCGGCCAGCATCTTTAAGTACTCCTGGTGGCGCTGCAACCAAAAGGCCAGGGCACACAGTGAGTACGGCCTCTCGGCCCAACCCTGGGCAGGGACACTGCTCACCCGCAGGAGTGAACAGGGCTCAGAGGGCAAGACTGGGAGGAGAGCCCATCCCACACCCCCAGCGTTCCCACCTCTATGAACTGCTCCCTGGTCTGGCTAACACCCCCGGACCCCTCAGCGGCCCACAGAGACTGCCTCTCGCCCTCCCCGCTGCACCTCCTCCCGGAGCTTCTTTCGCTCCTCCTTCAGCCGCTGCTTGAGCTCCGCGATGGCTGCCTTCTTCCGCTCCACCTTCCGCTTGTGGAAGCCTGTCAGGTACTCCCTGTGGGAGGAAGTGGGGACAGTCAGCAGGGGCTGCAAGCAAAGGAGGGTGCGCTCCAAGAAGGGCAAGGCATGGGACACTGCACTCACTACAGGCCACCACGGCAAAGATTTACTGACTTGTTTCGTCCTCACAACACACTGTGTAGCTGCTGCTGTCGGATGCTTCAATTGATTCCGACTCACAGAGACCCTACAGCCAGCACAGAAGTGCCCCAGGGGGCTTCCTGGGGTTTAATCTTTCCCCCTGGAGCAGCTGGTGGGCGAAAACCACCCACCTTCTGGTTCCTAGATGAACATCACTTCCCATTTTACCGATGGGGACACTGAGGCACAGAGAGGTTGGGTCACTCTCCCCAGGTGATAGGGAGCATCAGACTTGAAGAACAAGGGAAATGCTGCTGCTTCTCACTCAGTGACTCCCAGGGTCTCTGCTCTGAGCAACTGGCCGAGGTGGTGAGCATAGGCTGTGGGCACACACAACACAGGGAGAGGGCCCTTTCCACGGCTCCGTCACCCAGCAAATGAAATCATCAGCGGGGCCATCAAGACCACCCTCACCCAGACCTCCACAACCCTCCACAAGACCAACACGCCATTTGCTCAAGTCACCCACAACTCTGACGCACCTGTAGGGCCTGTTGATACTACTCTGGGAGTTTCCTGATAACGTTGCAGCGCTCCCTTCCCCCAACTTATACCTTAAGGAGCCCTGGTGGTGCAGTGGTTAAAGTGCATGGCTACTAAGCAGAAGGTAGAGGTTTGAACTGACCAGCAGTTGCACAGGAGAAAGATGTGGCAGTTGGCTTCGGTAAAGATTTACAGTCTTGAAAACTCTATGGGGCAGTTCTACTCTCCCAAAGAATTACTATGAGTCACAATCCACTTGACAGCAGTGGGCTAAGCACCTGGTATCTTAAGAAGCCCTGGTGGTACAGTGGTTAAAGTGCATGGTTGCTAATCAAAAGGTCTGAACCTACCAGCTGCTCTGCATGAGAAAGATGTGACAGTCTGCTTCCATAAAGATTATAGCTTTGGAACTGCTACGGGGCAACTCTACTCGGTATACAGAGTCACTGTAAATCAGACTGACTCCACGGCAATGGGTTTGTTTGCTTTTTTTTAATCTGACGACTGCAGTCCTTGGGTGGTACAAATGGTTAATGTGCTTGGTTACTAAAGAAGAGGCTGATAGTCTGAGTCCACCCACAGGCACCTAGGAAGAAACGGCTGGTGACCTACTTCCAAACTATCAGACACTGAAAATTCTATGGAGCACAGTTCTACTCCGACACATAGGGGGTCACCATGAGTCGGAGGGGGACTGCATTGCAACTGGGGTGATCTGATACCTGGCCCCGTTGTCTCCTTTACGTCAGTTCACATCAGTTCCTCCACTATGCTTTTCGCTGATCCACTACTATGTGCCAAGGCGGCATTGAGTCTTCCCGTTGAATGACTGGACACTAAAGCTCAGAAGTCCTGCTCCCTGGCCCGAGGCTGGCACACTGCTGAAGTATACAGTAAGTCCGGCGAGTGAATGAATGAACTTAAGCCACTTTCTTTCATTCCCTCATCAACAATGGTTAATAGCCTACGGCACACAGGGATTGTGAGCTGTGCTAGAATATAAGGACCGAAGCCAACCGAATATCCAGCTTTCCGTGTACATACTAAGCGGTAGGCGCGTGGGGGACAAGAAGGGTGGAGCGAAGGCGGGACGAGCGATTCCATTCCACAGGGCTGGCAGCCGGAAGCAGGCGCTTCCATTCAGCGACAGGAATGGGAGTCGCAGGGGAGTTCCCGGTGTGTCCAGGGGGCGGGGCCGGAAAGGCCCTCCGCGTGGCCGTGCGCGGCCCGGACCTGGCTTAGGCCTTGTCAGGCGGCCCAAGAGGAATTCGGTCCAGTTTTTACACTCACCGCCTCTTATCCTCGTCGAAGCTAAGAACGAGACGGGACCGCCGACCGTCGCCATCTCGCTTCTTCTTCTTGTTGCGGCCCATAGCGGTGAGGCCTCCGGCGGCGCAATTCCCACTTACCCAAACTACTTCCGGGTTGCGCGGTTTAGGCCTCCCCGGCGCGCCTCTCCGCGATGCTCCACAGTTCCGCCTCCAGGCCACGCCCCTTAAAGGGGCCGTCCAGCCTGGCCCCTTTCTTGGTATAACGTGTTGGACCCTACCCACGCCGACAGACCCTATCCCACCTCCTCCTGGGACTAGTTTTCGTGAGGGCCAGGCCCTGAGGCCCCAGCACCTACCACAGTGACGGTGCTTGGCACGAAATAGGAGCTCAATACTGAGTTATTAGTGAATGGCCAAAGAAAACTTTAGGTTCTGACGTCAACTCGTAGTATTCTCTAAGAGCTTGTCTCTGGAGGCTTCGTTGTGCCTCAGTTGTCCCATTTGTAAAATGGGATAATTATGGTGACTTTGTAGCAGGGCATCAAACCTGTTCATTCATTCAAACCTACATTTTACAAAATAGTCAAGTGATTGTTGCAGATTTATGTCTACATACAAATCACCTGGGGCTCTTGTGGAACTGTAGGTTCTGATTCAGTGTATCTGGGAGTGGAAGAGTAGATCTCAGCAGGGAAAAGAACCGGAATGAACCTGTTCCAAACTCTCCTTTGTAGGGTTGAAGTGAGGCAACAGTTCTCAAGCTTTGGCAAGCAGAATCCCCTGAAATGCTGTTAAAGCACAGATTGTTAGATGGGTCTCATCTCATCCAGAGCAAAGAAGAATGAAGAAAACCAAAAACAAATGAAACAATTAGTCCAAGCAACTGGTACACCATGGGATCCTCAGCCTATATGATTATGAGACTAAAAGAACTAGATGGTGCCCGGCTACCACTGTCAACCACTCGGAGGGGGGATCTAGGTAGGAGATCCTGGATAGAGAGGGAGAACAATGTGGAACAAAACTCAAAATCATAAAAAAAAAAAAAGGGGGGCGGACCAGGTTTGCTGGTCTGACAGAGCCTGGTGGAAACCCTGAGACTCTGGCCCCTAGCTGCCCTTCAGGTCTGGAATTGAACCCACGTCTATGGCTTCCAACCAAACAAAAGACTGGCATAAGTGTTGAACGTTTACCTGAGGTAGATACACTCCTTAGATCAATCATGGAAGAAAGAAGGGCTGTTTATGCACAGGGAGATAGCTCAGGGGGCAAGAGTACATGGAGGGATGGACACAGGGAAGAGGTAACTATCAGGAGGAAGTTGGAGGGGAGCTATTCCATTGGGGTAAATTGCAGTCAATGTCATGAGACAAAGTGTATGTGAACTGCTGTACGGAAGATGTATTTGCTCTGTAAACTTTCACCCAAATCACAATAAAATTAAAAGAAAAAAACAGATTGTTGGATCCACCTCCAGAGTTTCAGATTCAGTGGGTCTGGTGTGGGCCCAAGAATTTGCGTTTCTAGCAAGTTCTGAGGAGATGCTGATGGTGCTGGTACGCAGACCAAACTTTGAGAACCATGGTTGTGAGGAATCAGTGAGTTAACATCAGGATCAGGCATGTGGAACATGGTACATGCTACCTGACCCTTTACTATACAGGCCACTTCTCTCCATGCCTCCATTTACCTAAGTATGGAATGGGGGTGTAATAACACGTGGTCTACATGGATGTGAAGGAATTCTGGAAGACCCCCTGGAGGGGATTTCAGGTACTGGGATTGTGTGCCTGAATCCCTATTCTCAACCCTGCAGATGTTTTTTCCTATCAGGCCGTGTACTCAGTGCTGTGGACGCAGCTGCTGCCCTTCCGCTCAAGGTCCAGGGGCTGATGCCTCTGACAGTGCAGCGCACAGGAGGCTGCAGGAACCCAGGGTTAACTTCCCCAGTGTGGCAAATCAGGGACAGCTTCCTGGAGGAGGTGACTCTAGAACTGGCCAAGGGATGGGGTTACCAGAGGAATAAGGGAAATTGTACCAGACTCTTACGACCCAGTCCTCTCCTTTGAGAACTGGGGAGGCTGGAGCCCAGAGAGCAAGGAGGCACATGTGTATTGATTTCCTACTGGGTGCCGGGCACTCCAAGAAAGGAACTAACTGTTACCTCATGAAAGGAGAAGGGACTTGTCTCTGGTCAGATGGTGTTTTGGTTTTCTAGTGCCACTCTAACAGGAATACCACAAATGTATGATTTGAACAAACAGGTCTATTCTCTTACAGTTTAGGAGGCTAGAAGTCTGAGGTCAAAGTGCCAGCTCTAGGGGCTGGGATGAAGGTCCCTTGACCTTGGGCTTCAGCTCTGCCTCTTGCTCCTGGCCCACTGGAGCTGAAGGCGTCTCTTCACTCGGGCAGCTGCTGGCTGCTGAGGCTGATGAACCCAAGGTCAACAAGTGAAATGGCACAGTCCCCAGATTATCAACCATCACGGCAGGCCACTGGTTCAGTCTTAAGATCAGCAGACAACATGGCAGGCCGCCGAATGAAGGCTCGGCTACACGCAGGGCCCAAGAGTGCCCAAAACCCCAGCCACCTTACGCAAAGCTGCTCCTTATATACAGGAAGCAGACCACATCCCTAAGGCAGCTACTCAGCTGCTTGTGGTAGATACCACCATGGAGCTGACTGCCAGACTCATCGTGGGGAATACTACATCCAGCTGCCCAACCACTCAACCAGGCCCAGCCAAGTTGACACACAACTACCACAGATGACTATGTCTGTGGCAAAGCTGGGCCTTGTACCTGGCTCTCTGGCCTCCCAGCTCAGCTCCCTGGGCCACTGGCCTGAGAGGAGTGATCCTCCAGTAGCTAAAATGCCCCTCTGGAGGGCAAGATGCAGGCTCTGGTAGTTAAGGTTGTGTGTCAACTTGGCTGGGCCTGGTTGAGTGGCTGGACAGCTGGTGGTAGTTATTCCCCATGATGAGACTGGCAGTCAGCTCCATGGTGGTATCTACCACAAGCAGCTGAGTAGCTGCCGTTGGGTGGGGTCTGCTTCCCGTGTATAAGGAGAAGCTTTGAGAATGGTATCTAGCTTGTGGCATGCTTGAACCCTGCATGTAGCCGTGTTGTTGTTCAGCAGCCTGCCATGCTCTGCCGGCCTGGGAACTTATGATGGACTTGACTTAAAAGCCTGCTGTGTGGTTTGGTAACATCGGGACTGTGCCTTTTTATTGGTCAACCTTGGGCTTGTCAGCCTCGACAGTCAACAGCTGTCTGAGTGAAGAAAAGCCTCCAGCTTCAGTGGCTGGGAGCAGGAGGCAGAGCTGAAGCCCAAGGCTGAGGGGCTTTCACCCAGCCCCTAGAGCCTGGCACTTTGAACTTGGACTTAAAGCCTCCAAATTGTAAAAAAAAAACTCCTGTTTGTTAAGGCCATCCCGTTTGTGGTACATTCTTGTCAGAGCGGTACTAGGGAACCAGAACACAGGCCCTGCCCATGCTGTTTGGAAGGAGCCAGACCATAGCAGGGGCAACATTCGATGGATGTTGACTTCATTCCCAATTCCTCTGTGAAGATTCCAAGTTACATGCTGAAAGGAAGTTAGCTTCAAAACTTTGTGGGTCCTGCCTTCCCCCTGCCATGGCCCAGGCCACAGGAGGGGGCTGCCTTAATGGTTGAGGCTTCAGTGGCGCATGATAACGGCTCCTCTGCCCAACCTCCTCTGCCCCCTAGTGGCTGTGCCCTAATGCTGCTCTTGGGCTCCTCCCTCTGGGTGACCTGTCACTGTGGCTGCTGTGCCGCCCCTGAGGGTGTCTGAAGGGCCACCTCCTGCAGCCGGGCTGCCTCCTCCGAGTTAGCCGTCACAGGACCTCTGGGGGCTGTGGAGGGTATGGGCAGCGGGTCTCAGTGCCGCCACCTGCTCTGCTTACCCCCCTCACACTAGCAGCAGATTAAAACTAAAGGGTCTGGCACCCAGTGTGGTAAATCATAAACCTGCTGGTGGAGTGGTGCCTAAGGCACTTGACTGCTAACCAGAAGGCTGGCGGCTCAAACCCACCAGCCACTCCTCGGAAGGAAGGTTGGGTAATCCTACTTCCGTAGAGATACCGCCTCGGAAACCCAAGGAGGGGTCGCTATGAGTTGGGTCTGACTCCAGGGCAGTGGTTGCATTGCGTCGCGTTTTGCTTTTCTTACCACGCCCTTCCTGGGCCCCTTCTTCACCTTTCATTCGTTTCAACTCCCTCTGTACTGAGGAACGTTCCTGAGGCCTCACCTGGATTACCACAGGAAATCCTCCCTAGCAGGCTGGCGCTACCACCATCCCCATTTTACAGATGAGGAAAAGGAGGCTCAGAGAGGAGAAGTGACTTGACGAAAGTCGCTCAGTTTGTAAGAGGTGGTACCTGAGTCCTGAACACGGCATGGCTCTGCCTTCTCGGAGCTTCCAGTCTGGCCCGGAGACAGGCAGCGTGTCAGGAAACAGCCGTGTGGACGCAGCCTAGTGTGGGGAGTTCTGTGCTGCCGGCTCTCACTGTCCAACCCAGCGTGAGCTGCTGGCCCATGCATGGCTCAGGGACACGGAGCTCGGGGACGCAAGGCTCGGGGACGCCTCACCTGAGAAGGCTGTCTGTGCAGATGGAAGTCACCCACTCCCGGCCGGTGACTCCTTCTGGGGAGTTTCCAATACCCTCACAATGAGAAAGGAGACGAGGTCTGGCAACCCTGCCCCATGGCAGGGACGGCCCAGAGATCCCAAAACTTGATGGCCGTTTACTGCAGTTTATGGCCTAAAAAAAAAAAAAAACATCTTTTGGAGTTAGCATTATTTTTACATTTGCTGAGAGAGAGTCTGTTCTCTTAATAGAGACAACAATGAAAATAATGAGTGTTATGGACTGAATTATGCCCTCTTAGGAGCTCTGGTAGCATAGTGCCTAAGGCACTTGACTGCTCACCAGAAGGCTGGCAGTTCAAACTTACCAGCCACTCCTCGGAAGGAAGGTTGGGTAATCCTACTTCCGTAGTGATACTGCCTTGGAAACCCAAGGAGGGGTCGCTATGAGTTGGGGCCAACTCGACAGCAAACAACAACAACAACCCCTAACCCTTATACCTGTGGTTGGACAGGTCAAGTGTTCAAACCCAGCAACCGCTCAGTGGGAGAAAGACGTGGCAGTCTGCTCCCATAAAGATTTCAGCCTTGGAAACCCTATGGGGAAGTCTGCTTTGTCCTACAGGGTCACTGGGAGTCAGAATCAACTCCATGGCAACAGATTTTGGTTTTGCACCTGTGGTTATAATCCCGTTTGGGAATAGGTTTTCTTTGTTATGTTAATGAGGCGGTGTTAGTGTAGGATGTGTCTTAAAATCGATCTCTTTTTTAAGCTATGAAAGCAGACTAAGCAAACAGCAGAAGAACAGGGTTGGGGAAGAGACACTCCACGTGAGGTCTCCAAGGAACCAGGAAATTGAGGCTGAAAAGAGACAGGGACCTTCCCCCAGAGCCGACAGAGAGAGAAAGCCTTTCTCCAGAGCCTGTGCCCTGAATTCAGACTTCTAAACTGTGAGAAAATAAATTTCTGCTTGTTAATGCCACCCCCTTGTGGTATTTCTATTACAATAGCACTAGATCATTAAGACAATGAGTATAAAGAATAACAATAGCAGCTACCATTTATCTAACTTTTTGGAGGGTTATCTCTTTTTGAGGTATGATCCCTATTTTACTGAGGAAGTAACCAAGGCTCAGAGAGGTGCAGTCGATTGCCCAGGGTCACACAGGCGAGAAGAGCAGGTGGTGAGGGTGGAGCCAGGCAGTCTAAGGATAAACCTCTTCTTAAATCACTTGTGCCCATAGATAGGATCTTGGGACACATTGTCTTAAAAGGAGTAAAGGGAACCAACATTTGCAGAGCCTCTACTAGGTGCCAGGAGCTCTGGTGGCATAGTGCCTAAGGCATTTAACTGCTAACGAGAAGGTTGGCGGTTCAAACCCACCAGCTACTCTGCAGAAGGAGGACTGGACAATCTACTTCCATAAACTTACTGCCTCAAAAACCCAAAGGGGTTTAGAATCAACTCGATGGCAGTGAGTTTGGTTTTGTTTGTTTTTTTTACTAGGTTCCAGCCACCACATATACACATGTCTCAGTTAGTCCTCACGATCATCTCATGGGTTAGATACTAGTAATAACCCTATTTGACAGATGAGGAAACAGGTTCAGAGAGGTTGAATAACTGGTCCAAGGGCACGCAGCAACGGAGCCCAGTCTTCTTCCTCTACACCCAGTGACCTCCTCCTTGTCTAGTCCAGGGCTCTCCTCTGCTTGTTGTAGTCCCAGTTCTGCTACACAGTGAGTGTTCAGCCAGTGTAGGGAGAATCTGTGCGGGTAGACTCCGGAGGCCAGAGAAAAGAGGCCAAATTGGCACTTCCTCCGGTGTCCAGCAGAGGGCGCCCGTTCATCACTGGTTCCAAAGTTGCTTCTCTCTGGTGGCCACTTGGGCTTCCCAGGAGAGCCTGGAGACTGGGTGTGGCTAGCAGGAGCCAGGCTTGTGGCATCATCCTTCTTAGGCCCCTGCTAGAGACTCGCCCCCTCCCCAGACTCCAGGAGATGCGCTGAGATGGGAATTGCTCATCCAAAAGGGCCCAGTGCAAATAAGGACTCCCATTTTACAGATGAGGAAACTGAGGCCAGGAGGTAGGAAAACCCCACTGATGGTCCCTCGGCTGGTGCTGCTGCCACAGGGAGGGACATTTGCCAAGCCCCCCCCACCACACTTCAGAAGACTGTGCCTTGGGGTTTGGGGGAGCCCAACGAGGTTCTGATTCAAAGTCTTCCAGAATGTTGGCCCAGTTCCCATGGCTTTTTCCCAGGTTGCTAGGGCTCTGGGAAGATCCCACTGCAACCATGAGGGGTCACTGGGTGCAGGTAGTAGGTGTGTAGGGTGCCCCAGCCATCCTCTCAGGGCCCATCACTTCTCATGGGCTGGGTTAAACATTACCCTCCAAGGTAAGGGAAACTGAGCTGGTCTTGGCAGAACCAAGGCTGGTCTTGGTTTCCTCTTTGGAAACCTAGGAGAGGTCAGGCTCATGCAGGACCTCATCCGAGGCTGAGTGAGTTTCCCACACCCTTTTGCTCCCCAAGGAAGAGGCTGTGTGCAGCAAAGGCGTCTTGGAGCCCAGAGGCTGGGTTCATGTCGGCCCAGTTCTACCTCTTGATTCTCTGCAGGTGCTGGTGCAGGCGTCCCCCCCACTCCTGCTCCTTCTCCCATAGAAACCGAGGCCAGCAGTGGGCCACTGTTGAGCTGGGGAAATGGAGGCCCGTGGCAGTGGGGGACCAGCCCTTGGCCACGAGCCAGCAGCTTCCAGACTGGCACCCTGGTTGCCCTTATATCCCAGCAAAGGCGGGTCTGTGGGCTGGGAGGCACGAGGCTAGGATGCCTGCCTGCCCTCTCTCCACCACCGCCTCCTGCCTGCCTAAGGCTCAGCTGGGCCTGGTATTCAGTCTGTTGTTATGTGCTCTTGAGTTGGACCCGACTCATAGCGACCCCTCCTTGGGTTTCTGAGGCGGTATCACTGCGGAAGTAGATTGCCCAACTTTCCTTCTGAGGAGTGGCTGGTGGGTTTGAACCACCAGCCTTCTAGTTAGCAGTCAAGTGTCTTAGGCACTATGCTACTAGAGCTCCTGGTATCCAGGCTAGGGGGTCATTTCATCACTCAGAGCCCATTTCCTCCCCCTTTGACTTTGGGTACAAACATCTCAAGTGCAGCATTGAAGCCCGAGTGATGACCACCTGGCTGGCACTGAACTTGGCCTCTTTCATGCAACATCTCATTTAATCTTCCCAACAACCTATGAGGGTTTATTCCCTTATATGAGGAATAAACTGATGCTCAGAGAGGTCAGTTAACATGCAGAAAGCCACACAGCTGGCAGTCCCTGTTATCTGACTCCAGATCTCTTTTCCCCTGTGGTTCCCTCTCCCCCTGGCGCAAATGGATCTGCCCTTGCGTCTTTCCCCTGGTGTCATTTATTCAACATCTTTTGAGCACCTACTGTGTAGGGGGCCCTCTGGGGCAGTTTGAGGGCAGGGCTTGGGTCTTATGCAGTTGTCCTGGAGTCTCCTACTGTGTACTGGACTCTGTTGGCCTGGGGGACCAAAAACTCAATGCCATCAAGTCGGATCCAGCTCATAGTGACCCCTCCTTGGGTTTCCAAGGTGGTATCACTACAGAAGTAATTGCCCAGTCTTCGTTCCGAGGAGTGGCTGGTGGGTTTCAACCGCCAGCTCTCTGGTTAGCAGTCAAATGCCTTAGGCACTATGCCATCAGAGCTCCCTGGCCTAGGGGACCAGGAGAGGGGACGCGACATTTAGGAGGCATTCAAGGAACTGAATGGAAGTGCAGAAAGGGGCAAGCGTGGGGAGCAGAAGGACCCACACACAGAGAAAAAAAACATACATGAGGCAGGTTCAAGGAGATGAAAGGCAGCAGCCTTTATTGGGAACCGTGGATTGGCTGGCTTCACTCAAAGGCCACACACTTGATCTTGAAGTCACCACTGGCCTCCAGGAAGTTGATGGCCTCCAGGTTGAGGCGGTTGGGGAACTTGAATGTGTGCCCATCTGGCAGCGTGACGGTCAGGTCAGTCTGGTCGAAGGAGACACACACCTGGCAGGTGGGGAAGGGCAGTGAGCTGGGCCTGGGCTGGACCCTGCAGCAGGAGCCTTGGTGCTGCGGCCAAGGCCACGCCCACAGCCTACCCTCTCCTCCATGCAGCTCTGACAACAGCCCGGCTTTGTGGGTGAGGCCACAGAGGATTACACTCAGCAGGGGTCACACCGTGAGGGAACAGAGAGGCAAAGCTTCTCAACCCAGCTCCCCCATCCCAGCCCATTCACTGCCCCAGCCACCTCCACGACACTGCCAGGCTGGAAGGGGAAGGCCGACTCCCGCTGCTCAGCACCCCAGGCCCCGCCGTCCTTGCTGTTGCACACGATGGTGTTGACGTCCCCGTGAGCATCGAAGCGAGGGTTGAAGTGCAGGCACAGGTTGTTGTTGTCTTTGCCCAGGTTCAGCACGAAGCTGGGGGCAAGGGGTGGGATTGAAGGCCCCAGTGTCTAGGCCACCTGTGCACCATTAGGGCACCTGTCTGGGACAACTCACTGCACTGAGAGGCAAGAAAACTGGACTCTAGTTCCGCTACCTACTTGCTGTGTAACCTGGAGCAAGTGTCTGCCCCTCTCTGGGTCTCAGTTTCCTCGTCTGTAGAATGAGGGCAGCCAAGAAAGATCTCTAAGGTTCTTGCTGTGCTGACAACCCAAGACTCTCACAGACACTAGTCTGTGTCCCAGCCCCTGTGTTCAAGAGCGGAGAGTCCCTCCAAATGGTGACATCTGTGGGGGACACACACACACAAATATCCTGTCTGCCTTGCATATGTCTGTATCTCTGGTACCCACATATGGTAGGGGACACACAGGAGGCACTCAATAATTGTGGGACGAATGAACAAGGAAGAACACTTTTGCTGAGTGGTGGTGGTTGTTATGTGCCCTCGAGTTGGACCCGACTCATAGCGACCCCTCCTTGGGTTTCTGAAGCAGTATCACTATGGAAGTAGATTGCCCAACCTTCCTTCTGAGGAGTGGCTGGTGGGTTTGAACCGCCAGCCTTCTGGTTAGCAGTCAAGTGCCTTAGGCACTATGCCACCAGAGATAAGGAAAATACCTACATCTCAGGGTTTGGTAAGAATTAGACAAGACTGTATACAGGAGGTGATGGCCACAGAATCGTGGTCGGAGTCCTCACTGAGATCCTCAGCATCCTTTCAGCTGACAACCTCCCCTTGTTTTACGATAAACAAACTGAAACCCAGTGAGGTTGGTTGACTAGTCCAAGATCGCACAAAGGGCCGAGGAAGGAAAGACAGAGAATGAATGACTTAAGGCAGGAAGGAGGGCCTGCAGAGGAAGGGCAGTGGGGGTGCCTCTCCTTGCCACCCCCAGCTCCAGCCCCGCCCACCCAGGGGAAGGGGCCAAGCCGAGGTAGACGACGAGGCCGCAGCTGGTTTAGTTTAAGGGGGCGGAGGGGGGAACGACAATGGTGGGGGCGCCCAGACCCCGCGGAGGAAGTGACTCACGCAGACAGCGCTGCCCGGGCAGGCGGCCGCCTTAAGCCCCTCCCCTCCCAGAGGCGGGGCGGAGCCGCGGCGGCCACGCCCCTACCACACACCCCGGGCTGGCCCTCTGCCGCTCCCCTGCGCCCCTGCGCCCCTGCGCCGCCACCCCGCCTTCGGCCCCTCACCTCTTGGCGTCCGGGGCCACCTCGCCCCGTACTCGAAGGCACTCCCCGGCTTTGAGATTCAGGTTGCTGGCGACCAGACCCTGCGCAGAAAAGACCCCGCCCCGGTCGGTTAGAGGACGCGGGCCTGGGCTCCCGCAGTGGCCAGGGTGGGGGTGTGGGTGGGAGCTGGGAATCGTCCCCCAACCTGCATCCTCTGACCAGGCCAGTTGAGTAGCTGGGAAGTCGGGGAACCTGTATGGCCCTGGGGAAGTCCCTAGGACCGACAGGGTCTGTTATCTGTCATAGGGTGAGTTTCTGGATAACAGGGTCCGGAACCTTTTGAGGTTCAGGACAGGGTTGGATCCAGAGTGTCAGGGGAGCACAGTGCTTTCCCACCTTCTCATCTAACAAGGGGTGAAACCAGGCTCCGGGTGGGCGACCACCTGCCCAAGGTCACCTGCGTGTTGGTAGCAGTTTCAAAGGTAGGGTCTGTCTCCCTACGTAGAAGCCATGGCCAGGGGCTGGGGGATCTCTGCCATCCCCATCAGGGCCCCGTGGGAGACCCCCAGGAGCACAGCCAGGACCCTCTATGGAGGGAGGTACAAACAAGGCCCAGGTCTGCAGCCCAGGAGGGTGGGGTTAACATGGCAGAAAGCATCTGAGGCTGGGTGGAGCTGCTGTCCCACCAGGCATGCCACCTCCTGGCGCCCATGGCTGGGTGGTTCTTGCTGCCAGGAACGTGAACCCTTTCCCTGGGGCCTTGCAGAGATTCCTCATTCTGGCTTCCTTACCATCTTCCACCTCCCAGCTTGGGGTGGCGGGGGGGCCAAGAATTCCCCCAGCCCCACTTGACCATCAGAGACAGAACCACCATCATATCCCTTAGCCCCACACAGGCTCCCTCTGGGACGGCCTGTCTGTGTTGCTGGCTCCAACTTTCCAGAGCTCTCGAGCAGAGGCCGACTCTACCCTGGCCTGGTGACTGGAGACAGCTGCAGGGGGGGAGGGGACAGGAGGCTCTCTGAGGTGGAGGAGGGGAAAAGGACAGTGGTCTGAACGTCAGGAATGGGCCATCTCTTGCCTCCCCAGCTGGCCACACCCTTCCACTCTCACTTCTCAGAGAGCTGCAGAGTGTCAGACCTTGGCAGAAATAACCGTGCTGTCTGACCCCGGAGGAATCCAGAACATTCTTAAGCCCCAGAAGGCCTTTGGGGACCATGGCGCCCACCCCCATATCACAGATGTGGCCACTGGGGCCCAGAAATGAGAAGGCACTTGCTTGGAGTCACACACACACACTGCACTAGAATCCTGCTGCTGACCTGCCCCTTGCTCCCCGCTGTTTGTCTGCCCCATCTCATTCCCTGGGCATTGGGGTGGGGGCCCCCACACTCACACAGGCCATGGCTGAGGGCGTGGGACCGCTGCACCAGCTGTCTGAAGACTCCACCGAGAGGAGAGATGGGTCCCGGGCCGCTCCCACCCTTTTAACTAGACCAGACACTGGTGAGTCCCGCCCCCTGGAAGCTCGGCCAATTGGAAGTCAGAACAGGGATAGGGGCCACCAGAGGCGGAGTCAATGGAATTTTGAAGCTAGTTCTGGAGCACAGGTGACCAATCAGATAGGCTCCCTATCCCCTTTTTAGTCACACCCCCAGGATTCAAGCTCCACCCCCTATTCTCCTCCTCCATCCCTCCCCACACCAAAAATTGTGCTGTGGCAGGGATTGGAGGAGGCCAATGGGAAATAGTTTGGGGATGAGCTAGGTCCAAGAGTTGGTGGGAAGGGGGCCTGGAGCCAACAGGCTGCGCTTGGGGGGACCCAGAGAAGATGGATGAGGGGATGCAAGATCATTCAGGGTTTGGAGCTTGGTAGGTGAGGCCGCTCGCTCCCTGGGAGGGGCCAGGGTGTGGCCAGCTCTGTGGGTTGCGAGCACCCATTAACCACGAGGTCCTGGCCCCACCCAGGCCTCCCCCGGAAGCCGGGACCGTGGCAGCCGTCTGTGTTCCTTACTAGGACTAAAGAAAGGCTGGGCCGGGTGCCAGGCCTGAAGCCACGGGCCCTGGCTCAGGCCTCAGGCTTCGGCCCTCGGCGCCCTCGTGAGGAGTCAGCTGGTGCTCTTCGGAGAGCTGCATACTGTCAGCCTCTGTTTGACAGTGTCAGTCCTGGAGCGGACTCAGGGGGAGACAGGCCATGAGGAGCTGGGGTCTCCATTCTGTGCACCCCCGTGCATTCTCCTCTTATCTCCCTCATCAAGTCCAGGCACAGCCTTCTTTTCTGCATCCCCTGTGATCCTTGAACATAATTAAGAATAAGTGTGGTTTAGAGAGAATTTAGTCAATGCAAACAGTGTTGGGTTGATTTGGAAAAGGAGAGGGAGGGAGGGGTTGCACAGCTTGAAGGAGGACATAGTGTTAGAGATATGCCACGCCATCTTGCGTGGCTCTTCTGGGTTCTTCTTCATTCCCTGCTGCCCCGCTCAAGGTCATAAGTCAGTTAGTTGTTGTTGTTAAGTGCCGTCGAGTTGTTTC